CTGATGGGTTCAAAAACCAGCCCCGGCCAGCTAGACAACAGTGACAACTGCAACCAAAAAATAGCCAGGCATTGTGGCAGGCACCTTTGGTTCCAATTGTTTGGGAGGCTGAGGCAGGAGAACTGCTTGGGCCCAGGAGTTTGAGGTTGCTGTGAGCTGTGACACCATGGCACTTCAGTGAGGGCAACAAAGTGAGACTGTCTCAAAAAGAAACTAAAGGAACTGACTAAAGGTTTCTTTCCTTTAAAATGACCTCCAAGGGCTAGCGTGGTGACTCACGCCTATAATCTTAGCACTTTGGGAGGCCTAGGTGGGTGGATTGCCTGAGTTCAAGAGTTTAAGACCAGCCTGAGCAAGAGTAAAACCCTGCCTCTAAAACTAGCCCAGCATTATGGGGGGACACCTGTAGTCCCAGCTACTCAGGAGACTGAGGCAAGAGTATCGCTTGAGCCCAAGAGTTTGAGATTGCTGTGAACTATGACACCATGGCACTTTACCCAGGGCAACAATTTAAGACTCTGTCTTCAAAATTAAATTAAATTAAATTAAATTAATGAGCTCCTATTGGATAGTGGGATATACTATATAGTCTTCTGCTGGATAAAATATTTTCTTTTATTTATATATTTTTTGTGGACAGTATTATTTGTCCCTTTGTTGGACTCTAGTTTTAAATTGGTTATTAAAAGCTCCATCAGCATGCTAGACAGAAAGGGGAGAAGAGGGCAGGGAAGGAAGGAGGGGAAGGAAGGAAAAAAGAAAGAAACAATAATTTATTAGTTAAAAAAATAAATAAATTTCATGTGTAAAAATAAATAAATTTCATGTGTTTGCCTTCCCCCAAGCAACTACTTAGGAGGCTGAGTTAAGAGAATCGCTTAAGCCCAAGAGTTTGAGGTTACTATGAGCTCTGACACCACAGCACTCTATCAAGGGTGACATAGTGAAACTCTGTCTCAAAAATAAATAAATAAATAAATAATCTCAGTGTAATTTTTTTCTATTGTTTTGATCTCTATATTCATTCTAAACATCTCTACTGAATATTCAAGATACTTCCCCAAATCTCATTATCTCCCTATCTGAAGACATAGTCCTATCAGATGTCTGAAGCTCAATGTTTGTGAAGCTGAACTTGCTCTTGTCTTCCAAATCCTTTCTCCCTGATGTGTTTCTATTGATTTCCTTGTACCTAGTCTTTCCTTGCTATTGCAGCTATTCACCCAAGAAGTATTTGTTGAGCACTTTCTACGTGCCAAGCATTTTTCTGGGTCTTTGCCTTCTCTGAGTTCCATACAGTTGCCAAGTTCATTTTGTTAAACAAACATTTTCATTATTATTAAAAGTAATACATACTCATTGTGGAAAAAAAAAAAAGGAAAACATGTGTGTGAAAGAAAATTAAAATCACAAATCCAATACCCAGAGATAACCACTATTTTAGCATTGTCCTTTGAATTTTCATTTAATCCCACATTATCCATGGCCTGTCCTTCAACTATGTAGAATTAACTTGTTCAATTGAGAATAACTCTACATCTAGCTATTTTCATTGACTAAAGTAAATGTGATGAATAGATTGTCATAAATTTCTGTTTGGCTAAATTGAACAAAAATATGATAATAGCTTATTTCTTTAAAATATAGAAATTCTTTCTCAGATATCTCTCAAATAAATAAAATGTGGAGGGGTTTACTTCTGATTTTAAATTATGACTAGTGCCATCATTAGGTTTTTCTATTCCTATTTTTGGTTAATTTTCCTTGCTATTTGATTTATAATCCTTACTATTTATTAAATTACAAAAGAAAATGTGTATATGAAGAAAATGAAGTTATGATGAGAGAAGGACATGAGTCCCTAGCTGGGCTTTGGAGCCAAACACAGTGAAACCACCTCACAAACGTGTATTTGCTTACGTAACAAAGATTTCCATTTTGTTTCATGAGATACCAACTCTATCTAGAAAATTTCTTGTGACCTTGGGAGCATAGAAGTTTGCTGATGATAGACCATCAGTATCAAAAGTTCTATACAGTCTTTCTAAAAAGCATGAATAGTTTAGTTCATCTGAATTTGCCAACATGACTGTGACTGTATTTCAGAATATATACCCTACAATTGCATTTATTGTCGTAAACCCTTAGGTTAGCAGCATCATCCCTAATTACTGAAAAGAATATTATCGAAACTATGTGAGAAATAGATGTGACTAGCTCATAAGAATGAAAATTTTTATTTTATAGGAAGATCTCTGACTTAATTTCTGTGCCTCAGTCTTCCTCATCTGTAATGAGGATATAACTATATCATTGGATTATTGTGAGAATTAATGAGATAATGCATGTGAAGCACTCTGAACCATACCTAACACGCATTAATGCTCAGTAAATGCTAGCTGTGAATATTACCGACCCATAAATTGAATAGATTGGGCCTTACTATAATTTTACATAGGAAAAGTGTGCATCAAATTATAACCTAAAATAGTGCTAAAATGGACCTGCACATATGTTTAGCAGTTCTTCAGAAAGATAGCTCAGCCAGGCTTGGTAGCTCAAGCCTGTAATCCTAACACTCTGGGACATCATGGCCAGTGAAATTGCTTGAGCTCAGGAGTTCTAGAACAGGATGAGCAAGAGTGGGACCCCATCTCTAAAAAATAGCCAAGCGTTGTGGTAGGTATCTGTAGTCCCAGGTACTTGGGAGGCTGAGGCAAGAGGATCACTTGAGTCCAAGCGTTTGAGGTTGCTGTGAGCTATGACACCAAAGCACTCTATCTACCAAGGGTGACAAAGTAAGACTCTGTCTCAAACAAAAGAAAAAAGATAATTCATATTAACTAACCAAATAAAGTACACAGCAATGTTATAAATATTCTAAAGAAGATTTACATTATGTTTTAGAAATAGTCCATTTTATGAGATACTAGAAAATTCCCAAAGACCTTTGGATCACAGAAGTTTGCTGATGATGTATCATTGCATCGGTGTTCTTCCCGATCCTTGTTAAAAACATAAATGGTGACTTGGTGCCCATACTCAGTGGTTAGGGCACCAGCCATATACACTGGGGCTGGCAGTTCAAACCCGGCCCAGGCCTGCTAAATAACAATAACAACTGCAACAAAAAAACAGCCCTGCATTGTGGTGAGCGCCTATAGTCTTAGCTCCTTAGGAGGCTGAGGCAAGAGAATCACTTAAGTCCAAGAGTTTGAGGTTGCTGTAAACGGTGACGCCACAGCACTCTACCAAGGGTGACATAGTAAGACTGTCTCAAAAAAATAAAATAAATGGTTACTAGAAAAAATGATTGTCATTGGAGCCATCCTGATGAGATGTGACTAATTCTTCAAAATATATAAATTGTACTCTTTCTGAAGATATTTAAATATTAATTCAAATAAAGGGTTTTTGAAACTAATTTACTTAGTACTGGGATGTTATATGCATTATAAAAATATTCTTCTAATTATAAGACAAAAGTACTTTAGAAGTTATAAATGATTACATTTTCAGCATGTGATTCTGGTTTTCTCTTGACTCGCTTTATGGCAGCAGCTCTCAAAATGTTGTTCAGGGAGTCCACAGGATGTCACATACTTTTCTAATTATAAGACTTTGTTTGCCTTTCCCTCACACGTTCTCCCAAATGTGCAGTGTTGTTTTGCATGGGCTGCATGAAGTGTGACAACAGTTGAAACAGAAGCAGATACAGGAGTCTAGCTATCTTCTATTCAGCCAGACATTAAGGAAATTTGCAAAATTATAAAGTAATGTCTAGTGCCATCATTGGGTTTTTCTATTCTCAAAACCTTTTACTTTTGTAGAATATACTTATTTCTCTTAAAATATATTACTTAACAGGTAATGATTTTAGTTGTTTTAAGAGAGATGAGTAGGTAAATGTTTTTAAATTTTCTCATTTTCTAATATGATAAAATTGATATTTTATAATTGATATGAAAGAATTCATTGTAGATAAGATCCATTTTTACAGCATAAAAGGATTCCAAGATCAAAAGGGCAGTGTTCCTTTAGGTAGATTATCCTCTGTGTTCTCCTTCCACTCTCATGACTAACTCTTGGCCTTTTAATATATTGTATGTTTATTTATCTTTGGTGCTCTGGAAGTTAGTTTTTTTATCACTATTATTCTAAATATTTTTATCAGATGTTGATTATTTTTATTCTAGACTGAAATAATCTCTAAATGTCTTAATTTACAGATTACAAACACAAAAAAGCAATATAATGTACAGATTTCTCGATTATCAGAAGAACTGTCAGCCCTTCAAATGGTATGTTGGAAAACTGTATTGACATTTTCTTCACACTGTTATTTTAAAAGTTAAGGTGTATTTTATTCAAAAGATACTAAATCAGGACCCAGGCTCAGTGCTAGGGAAAAGTGAAAATACAGATGGACTTGTTTTCTTCTGTGGTGCTGCTTATGGTCTATCGCATTTTACTGTAAGGACTGTCTTTGACACAGGGTACAGTTGAAGCGTCCCACTGCATCTCCTCCCATAGGCTGGGTTCATCTTGGAGACCAGGGAGAAAGAGAAAGTATGTATGACCATGGGAAGGAAGAAACGCAGGAAAGCTTCCCAAAAGAAAAGTACTAAGGGATGAATAAGCAAAGAGGGAAGAGGAAAAGAGTGCTTGTGTGGCTGGAGATGGGGTTAGAAATACTAATTTAACTTGAAGATTTAATGTAATCCTGGCTTGTAGGAAAATAGAAGTACACAATTTTTTAGGAATTGAGAAAATATTTACAACTTAACAAAATCTCATCTCTTCTGATTACCTGTATTACGTTTAATCTCACAAAACTTAGCAATAAATTATGTCTTGTAATAAGTGTTATACATTAGTGTATTTTGAACATATACACACATTCCATAAAAATCTTATTTCTCAAATTAGATTGTAAACATCTCAAAGTAGAAGATTCTTATGCCTTTGTCTAGTTTCCACATTGCCTAGTATAGTATTTTTCACAGTATAAATAAATATTTATTAACTTAGTGATATTCTAACACTATGAAAGAGAGATCACATCTTTTTCACATTCTACAAACTGTGTAGTGTGCATGATGGGACCTTTATGATAAGTCCTAAATGTAATAGGACAAATAACAGTATAATTTTTTATTTGTTTATTTAATAACAGTTGCAATCAATTGGGAGAGGGTGGTCAGGGACATGCAAAAACAAATCGTCCCTGACCTCCCCCCCGCATTGATATCCAACATCAGTGTCACTTTTTCTTAATGATGTGGGAACATTTAGTAAAATTAATGAGATGCAATGACTAATGGCCAAATTAGTCATGTGTAATTCTTTGTTGTTATACAATTTTGCTCTCTTTTCTATCATCCCATTATTTTGCTTTCATGGGCTGATTAGCTTTCAAAAGATTCACATCTTTGTGGAAGAAGGGTAATAGGTTCCTACCCCAGTCCAAGATCATTTAACAGATTGTAAACTCTGCCAGGGCAAGACATTTGGTTTTTGTTTGTTTGTTTTTTCTCAAAGGAACAAAGACTGACTATCACCTACAGGGATTTTTTTCAAATAATTGTTAGGTATATAACAACCAGAATTATATTAAACTCACTTCAGAGTTAAAAAAAAAAAAAAAAAGACAATTTCAGTTTATTATCCCAAACAACCTTCTTATGCTCTATGTTAAAATAATTCTACTTGATAACTAAGTGATTTTTCTAAACGTATATAATATCTCATGTCATATTGAGACTGTAGGAAAAAACTGTACTACTGTCTAATTGAAAAGTATTTGATATATTCAAAGAAATCATTTAGCTACTTTAAAAAGCAGATTTTCTCAGAAAATCTGGGCTAGAGTTTCAAGCATAATAATCTCATGCCTGGTACTATTTTCTATTTTTAAGTAGCAATTTTACTATCTATACAATTACTACACCATAGTAATATGCTATAGTCTATTACTATACTATCTCGCAATGCTGTTATTTACACTATTAAATACAGGAAGGAAGTTAAACATACTTTAAACTAAAATTGTTATGCATGCAGAAAAACATGTTTTACGTTAGCGTGCAGATTTTTCAACAGGTTAAAAAAAGGCCAGAACCAAGCCTGTACCCCCTTTTGGAGAACAGTGCATACTGAATAACCTTTGTTTTCTCCAGAAAGTTATATAAAGTTGGACAGTTGAGTTTGTAAACTCATCTGAAAAAAAATAAAGTGAGACATATATATATATATATATAGACACACACACCCCTTGTTGCTGAATATTACTGTGGTTACCTTTGAAGTACTCCCCTTGGAAAGCTACGCAGCAACACTTTTCAAAGTACTTTTCTTTTTTTTTTCTTTTTTTTTTTTGTAGAGACAGAATCTCACTTTTATCTCCCTCAGCAGAGTCCCATGGCGTCACACAACTCACAGCAACCTCCAATTCCTGGGCTTAGGCGATTCTTCTCCTCAGCCTCCCAAGTAGCTGGGACCACAGGTGCCCGCCACAGTGCCCGGATATTTTTTTGTTGCAGTTTGGCTGGGGCCGGGTTCAAACCCACCATCCTCGGTATATGGGGCCGGCGCCCCACCACTGAGCCACAAGCACCACCCCAAAGTACTTTTCAAAGTACTTTTTCTAGGATGAGTTTATGAACTTAAATGGCCAACCTCATATTTTCTCTTGAGAATACTCAAGGTTTTATTGTGCCATGGAGTAGATTGCCGTTCATCTTTAGCAAATAAGGAAGATTAATTATAAAATGTCTCAATTTATACAAATAAAAGGAAATATTCATTATGATCTTTTCTTTGGTTCATGAGCTTTTTTGAAGTCTATTTTTGAATTTCTAAATACATGGGGATATAGACTGTCTTCTTTTTTTCTTTAAGACAGAGTCTCAAGCTATTGCCCTCAGTAGAGTGCTGTGGTGTAACAGCTCATAGCAACCTCAAACTCTTGTGCTTAAGCTATTTTCTTGGCTCAGCCTTCCAAGTAGCTGGGAATACAGGCACCTGGCACACATCCAGCTATTTTTTTGGTTTTTGTTGTTGCTGCAGTTGTCACTATTATTTAGCAGGCCCGGGCCGGGCTTGAACCCTCCAGCCTTGGTGTATGTGGCCAGCGCCCTGCTCACTGAGCTACAGGTGCTGAGTCTAGACTATGTTCTTCTTATTAACTTCTCATTTGGTTATGTAGGGACCACAGATCATGGCCTATATGATACTGGTTCTTAATAATTGTTGTGACTTTATAGGGTATGACTTGAAAATGCTCCATGTATGAATACTTGAAAAAGAATCTATTATTTTGTTATATTTTCCCCTAAAAGGAGCAATGTCAGTGGTGATTAGCAAACAGCTTTAAAAATCTTTTAATAGCAATTTTTAATGTTTGCTTTAGTAGCATAGTGCATTTCAAATAGAATTAGTATGACAGTTTTCTATAAAGTTTTCAACATTTCTGTCACATTTTATCTTCTTTGTCCCAGATTTATCCAAATATTCTTTTAACCATCTTTATTTGTCAGTGAAATAGTGGATTGGGTGGAAAGGGATATGTACATGCTTGCCAGAACCTGAAGTCTGACTCAACTTTGTTATTAGCATACATATTAAAAATCACCTGGGAAGAGGTATGAACATAGGTAAAATTCTAAATTTAGCACTATGAAAACTATCTTTTCAGTGATAAGCAACTTAGTATATGACTGTATGGAACATTAAAGCTACGTTTCTTATACACTAAGTGTTCTATTTTAATAAAAGATTAAATTTTTCATCTGATTTATAGCATAAGATTAAAGATCTTCATTATAATCAGAGGTGATTAGTTTTTAGTGACAATTTATTGTAAAAATTTATTGTAAAATTTAAAAACATAATGAAATATACTTTTTCTATAAAATTAAGTTGTGAGAAAGATAATGAAATATCATTAGTAGTTTTCCATTAGCAAAGCTATTTGTCCGAAGTATCATTCACAGTTAGTGAAAAATAACATTACCACTTTAGAAAGCTGAGGTGAGTAGATTGCTTAAGCTTAGGAGTTTTAGACCAGCCTGAGCAAGAATGAGACTATGTCTCTACTAAAAGTAGAAAAGAAAAAAAAAAAGCTAGCTAGCATTGTGGTGGGCACCTACAGTCCCAACTATATGAGAGGCTGAGGCAAGAGAATCACTTGAGCCTAAGAGTTTGAGGTTGCTATAAGCTATGATGCTACGGCACTCCACCCATAGTGACAGAATAAGACTTAATCTCAAAAAAAAAAATTCTCTAAGAAGAAATGGAAAAAAAAGAAAAGAACCATACTCATTCTACAAAATAAATATATAAATAAAAACAAATAATTGTTAAGAACCAATAATTATAATGATTCTTTTGTTTTAGTCTCAATTAGCAAAATGTAAAATTTTGTTATCTAATTGATATGTTTGCTAAATTTATCTGTTAAAACCTTTTTTGCCAAAATGTTTTGTGTTTATGCTAATAAAACATTTTTAGTATTTCCACTCTCTGTTCATTAGTTTAGTAATGAAAAAATTAGTAAAAATGAGCTGTTTTAAAATCTGTGCACACATTTGTGTTTTAGACCATAGCTTGTCTCTAAGGGTTTTGTGCCACTATCCAGTTTTGTTTCCTTTTCAAAATATTTGCTAAGAGTGTATGAATAAATAAATAAAATAACTATAATGTAGGAAAGGGGTTCTGTGCATTTACTTTGATTCTCCCTGAAATTCCCCAACTTCTGTCTCCCACCTAGTTTGTGTAATTAGCACTTGTCGGCATCCCATAGCTGGAGGCAATTTCTGAAATCTTTGAAGACTGAATTTTATTATGTTGGTTTTTTAAACCAATATGACTGTACTATGTTGATGAGTAACTACGATATTCCCATTATGAACAAATCATTTTATTTCCCCACTTTCCCCCATTTTTCTTAAGGTTTTATAAAAATGTACTTGTGTCTGACTTGACTTTATAGGAATGTGCTGAGAAACAAGGCCAAATGGAAAGAACCATTAAGGAAAAAAAAGCGGTAGAGGAAGAACTAGAAAAGGTAACAAAAAGGAAATATCATTCCCTAAAACCCAGCTGCTAATATTCGACATTACTGTCTGAGTCCATCACACTGTCTACTAGTAACCTTTTTATTTATTAGTATTCTCCTAGTGAATGTTTTTATTTTCTTGAATTATATTCACAGTCTGCAATGAAATACTAGTATTGTCTGGATACATTTTTTTCAAAAGGTGACCATATTGTTTGAACTGCGCACTTAACAGTATTAAGTTTCTAAAGTAGCTATATTGCTTGCATAAGCCTCATCCCAATAGTAAATTTCACCTTAACTTTCTTTTCTTTTTTAATGTTATGTATCGGTCATCGATAAATATAACAAGTACATATGACTAGAAAATTATAACATTGCTTTTAACTTTTAAAAGTAGATTTTCATTTCATAGTTAGGAAAATTTTTACCTCAGTCATATTTGAGAAAAAGTATAAGAAAAGTCTATGGTTGGCTCGGCACCCATAGCATAGTGGTTACAGGGCCAGCCACATACACCAAAGCTGGCAGGTTCGAATCCAGCCTGGGCCAGCTCAAAACAACAATGACAACTGCAACAACAACAAAAAATAGCCAGACATTATGGTGGGTGCCTGTAGTTCCAGCTACTTGGGAGGTTGAGGCAAGAGAATCGCTTAAGACCAAGAGTTTGAGGTTGGTATGAACTGTGACGCCATGGCACTCTACCAAGGGAGATAGCTTAAGACTATGTCTCAAAAAGGAAAAAAAAAAAGAAAGCACAGTCTATGGTTTAAAATTTATTTCTTGGCTCGGCACCTGTGGCTCAAGTGGCTAAGGCGCCAGCCATGTACACCCAAGGTGGCGGGTTCGAATCCAACCCGGGCCCGCCAAACAACAATGATGGCTGCAACCATTGTGGCAGGCTCCTGTGGTCCCAGCTACTTGGGAGGCTGAGGCAGGAGACTTGCTTGAGCCCAGGAGTTGGAGGTTTCTGTGAGCTTTGATGCCATGGCACTCTACCCAGGGGGACAGCTTGAGGCCCTGTCTCAAAAAAAAAAAAAATTATTTCTTTCTTCTACTTTTTGTTATTAGCAGTAAAGTGCTTTCCCCAAGGCACTCATTTACAGTGCTTTGGGAAAAGAAGAAGGGATCAAATTTGAGCACTTAAGTGGGTTTTAGGTGCTATATTAGAACTTTAATAGAGAGGTTAAGTAACTTGCCCAATGCTAAGTATTAATAAATGGTAGAGTCAGAATCTGATTTTCAAAGAAGAGCTATGTAGCATAAAAATCATGTGCTATATCCATATTATCAGCATGGAAAAATCATGATATCAGCAAGTAAAAGAATAATTCATAAAGCAAAGCATAATCCAGTTTGTGGGGGGAAAAAGTATATGTGTTCAAAGTAGTACTTTTATGCTTACTACTGTCCTGCACGGTAGATCACTTCTGAGTTTCCATCTGCTATGTCAGATACATCCCTTTTAGATTTCCACCTGCTATACATAAAGGTTTGGGATGACTTTTCTAATATCATATGGCATGGATTAAGGAACAGACTTACTGGAGAATGTAAAACCTACAAGGCTAATGTTAAGAGGATGGGGAAGGCACAGCTCCCTGTTCTCACGCTTTCCCACAGACCAATGTATGAAGCTCAAAGTGTTGCATCTGTGTTCTAGGAGCAGAACGCAGTAGACATGTTGATATTCTACCTTTTCACAGAGTAAGAATGACAAAGCTGTGCTGTCAGGAGAAAGAAAGACTTAGGTTACTTAGCCAGACAGTCTAGATTTAGAGGCTGGCAGTGTATACAATTTGTCCTGAAGTGAGAACTGCCTAGCACCTGGAGACCCTGAGTCTCCTGGGACTTTACAGCCTCTGTTCTAGGAGAAGTAGCCCAGTCACATGGGAAGCTATGCTTAGGTACAACCACTCCTGCTGGGGGAGGGGGAGCACCCATTCCACTCACATCATTCTCCAGGTGACCCAAAGTGAGATTCTAAAGTCACATCAGAGACTTCTACTCATTGTATCACAGCATGTATCTTTAGTTTTTAATATCAGACGAGAGAATTGTCTTGAAGGGTATTTAGCAAAGAAGTACCAGTGGTTATCTTTAATTTAACATTTAGAAAATGGTTTTTAACTTCATTTGCTTTACATTTTTATATTCCTTGAATAGCAATTCAAAAAATAAACAATTATCACATTATATTTCACTTTTAGCATTTCTTTTTATAAATATGAGATAACCAAAATTAATTATTTGTATGTTTTAGTATGTTATGATGGGAGCAGATGATCACACGGTCATGGCTTTTTATTCCTTGATATTGATTTCAGCTTCTAAAATGTGTAATTTATTAAGCTAGTTCCTTCTGTAAGGTAATATACATATAAGCCTTTTCTGCAGGTTTACCGTGAAGGCAGAGGAAATGAAAATGATTACAGAAAACTGGAAGAAATGCACCAAAGATGCTTAGTTGCAGAGCGTTCAAAAGATGATCTTCAGCTAACACTTAAGAGAGCAGAAAATAGAATAAAACAACTTGAAATTAAGTAAGTTTTTCTTGTGGATTTTCCATGATAAAATCTTTAAAATTCACACAGTTTTTAACAGATTCTCTCTTTTTTGTTGTTTTTATAGAACTTACAATATATCTTATATTGAAAAAAATCTTTTTAGGATCAAATGCAATCTTTATAAGATTATTTCTGAAAACTAATTTCTCCAAGAAGAAAAGATCTGACAGTAGTATAACATTTTATTTTAAATTTATTCTGACAGTTAAATGGGATGTTTGTAAGATTTTTTTTTCATATTAACTATACAGCTGTTGGAGCATGCTTATAATTACTGCTTTTATACTCCTTATACTTAGTATTTTTCTTGTATTCAATATTCTATAGTGATCTATCATGTTTTTTTATTACATTATTTAGAAAAATGACAAACTTAGAATTTGGCATGTCCATTCTGAATATTTTTCTATCTTTTTCCTCCGTATTACTTAATACAATAAAATTATTTGAATTGCCTAAAATCTCAATTTTATGTATATTTAAAATATATTTTTAAACAAAAGATAACTTTTCTTTTTTAAATACATATTAATGCCTATTATTTAATTTTTTAAGAGGAGATATTGTATATGTGTTTCATAAATCTATGTGTAACTTTCAATAATCTATTCAGATAATCTGCTCATGTAGTTCTAAATCAAGCATGAGGAAAAAGCTGGTTTATTCCAATACAACTTTTCTTATGTTTAGTAAGCAAAGTATCATTCACGAAGGCTTCTTCTGATACCACACATTCGTGGATTTGTCTCCAGTGTGCACACTCATGTGTCTCTTAAATGAGGAATATTGAATAAAAGTATCCTGCATTTGTTTCAGTTCATATGGTCTCTCTGCAGTAAGAGTTTCTCAGTGTACAGCAAAAACAGAAATCAGTAAGTCTTCTCCATATTCCTTATATTCAGAAAGTTTTTCTCCAGTGCAAATTCTCACATTTTTCCTATAAGATGAGAACACAGAATAAAAACATGAGAACTAGGTGAAAGACTTTCTTATGTTCCTTACATTGAAAAGGCTTCTCTTTAGGATACATTTAAAACGTTAGTAAAGGATAAGGATTAGCCTATCTTCTTTAGATTTACAAGGCTTCTTTCCAAGGTGAGTTCTTTTCTTTTATTAAAGAAATGGGAATGACTAAGGGCTTCCATACATTCTTTACAAACAAAGTTCTTCTCTACAGTATGATTCTTACATATTCATTAGTACATGAGGAATTTGTGAAGCTTTCTCACATTCTCCACATATAGGGTTTTTCTCTAGTCTGAGTTTTCATATGTGCTTTAAGGAAGCAGTCCCCAACCCTTTGGGTACTAGGGACCAATTTCCTGGAAGGTAATTTTTCCACAGACAGTGTAGAGGAGCGGGACAGGAGGCGGAGCTCAGGCAGTGATGGAGCAATGAGGAGAAGCTGTAAATGAACAGGAAGCTTTGCTTGCTTGCCTGCTGCTCACCTCCGGCTGTGCCACCCAGTTCCTACCAAGCCACAGACCACTACTGGTCGATGGCCTAGGGTTGGGGACCACAGCTGTAGGGTATATTTGATGAATGTTTTCTTATAATCACTTCATTCAGATGATTTCTCTTGAGAATGAGTTTTCCTGTCTACTTCCAGATTCAGGGATGCTAGGAATGCTATGTTTCTTAAGTCTCCTTTCATCTCTAGGATTCTACCAGTAGTTTTCTTACAGTTAATTGCAAGTATATATTCCCTGTGATACCTTTGACCAGGAAATGTTCACAGAGGTTGATTATCTGGAATTGAAAAGATGGAAGTTTTTAAAACTAGGATAAAAATTAGCAATACCTTATATTGAAGCAACTTTCATGTTGAGAGAGAGGTTGTCTTACCCAATGAGGCAAATCATCTTGAAACCCCAAAGTTTAAGGGTAAAGTGAAAAGAAATGGCTCAGAATAAAATTAAAGTCTATGCTATAAAATGTAGGTAAACTTCTTGACTTCTACTACAGATCATTAAGTGTAAATATTTTTTGTTTTTGATTTTAATTAGCTCCTCAGAAGAAATATCACGTTCCCAAGAAATGATTCAGAAACTTCAAAATGTATTGGAGTCTGAGAGAAAGAACTGTGGATTTGTCAGTGAACAAAGGCTGAAACTTCAGCAAGAAAATGAACAGTTACAGAAGGAGACTGAGAATTTAAGAAAGATTGCTCTGGAGGCTCAAAAAACAGCCAAATTAAAGGTATTTTTAAAACTAGAGTTAAATGTATAGTTGTGAAAATCAAAGTATAGAGAATATTTACAGAGACCTAGTAAAACATTTCTAAGGCCTGTTTTTTGTTTTTTTTTTTTTGCCTTCTCATCAGCTAGCACTAAATCATAATTCAGAGTGTTAACCAATCATTTCTGTATTGTAGGACTTGGCAAGCATACTTGAAAATGATTGCCTTCACTATCCACACGCACAAAAATTCTTTTCCAACCATGAAATACACTGATATTCCTGCCAAAGCAATTTAAGCAGCACTAGCAAAACTATAGATTAGATAACTTTACAGACTGCGTTACTCTCTTCTCCCTCTATAATAGCCTCTCAAAAATTGAACTTCTCTAAAACTAACTGTATAGAAGATGTTGTATCAGTATGCTCTAAGAACCATTCAGCTAGTCTGAAAATTCCATGCTAGAAAGAAAGCAGGACGCAAAAGTATCATCGAAAAACAATTGCATTTCTTACATTTTCTCTTCCCTTTCCTCCTCCTTTACTCTAAGGCTTACGTGCTGTGGTAATAGGAACATGATAATCATTTAAAAGGAGTTTCAATAAACAAAAGTATCCCCATCAACATCTTTATTACCTTTTCTTGTTTCATGAGACTTTTGTAAAAGGTAGCACTAGCTCTTTGGGATAAATATCTACATCTTCCAAATTCACAGTAGTGTACAGCAGTAGTGTTTTATTTTGGATTTGTAAGAAGGCATATTCCAACCTAATTCATATCAACAAGTGTTTATTAAATGCCTCCTATTATAAATATCAAACATATAGTTCTTTATAAAAACTTGAACCCTGAAATGAAAGCGTCTTATATATAAAGACATTTGTAGTTTATGCTTTAGACTGTGGAAGGCCTTTGAAGAACACAGAGATGAACCATATTACCAGATATTAAGACTTCACATAAAACCATAATAATTAAGACAATGTGTTAATTGACAGAGGAATAATCAGATTGATCAATGGCACAAAATAGGGTCCAGAAACAAGCCCATTTTGCATAATCACCTGATTTATAACAAAAGCATCACTACAATTCAATGGGGGGCAAATTATCTTTACAGTAAATAATACTAGATTAATTGGATTCATATGATGAAAGTTAACCTTCACTGTTATATCACACCATATGTGCAAATTAATTTGAGCTAGCATGTAGACCTAAATGTAAAATATAAAATGGTGGAATATCCAGGAGAACATCCCCATGCCCTTCACTAGGAAAAGATTTCTTCAACAGAACACAAAAAACAGTAATTATAATAAAAAGATAGATGAATTGAAGTTCATTAAAATTGATTTGTTCTTAGTCATTGAGTGATACCACTAAGAAAGTAAAAAAGTAAGAGAAAGTATTTGTAATGCATACAACCAAAAAAAGGATTTGTGTTCAAAATATAAAAACTCTTACCAATTAATAAGAAAATTATTAATAAGTAAAAACAGTTAATGAGGAAAAAAAACAGATGCTTCATTTCAAAAAATGATCAAAAGACTTAAATACATACTTTATAAAAGAGAATATAGGCAAATATGTTCAACTTCTTTTTTGTTTTTTTCAGGGAAATATAAATTAAAACTACAAGGTAACACTATATACTTATCAGAATGGCTGAAATCTAAAAGACTGTAATGTACAATTTCAAGTATTGATAAAGATATAAAATTCATATAAAATAACCAAAACTTTAATGCAATACTAGAGGGCATGGAAAGTAGTACAACCATTATTTAACAGTATTTTTTTGTTAGCTTTTTTTTTCTTTCATTTGAATATAATTTTGTTTCACTGACATATTCCATTGTGGTGGAGTCAGAGATTTTAGTGTATCCATTATTATAGTAATGTACATTAAGTAATTTCTCATCATCCCTCCACCCATCTACCCTTCCAGATCTTCACTGTATCATTCCACTCACTATTTCTGTGTGTGCACACTGTGTAAGTTCCCACTTATAAGTAAGAACAAGGCAGTGTCTTTTAAAGCTGCACATAGATCCTGTGCCAAATAATCCTGGCTACATACCCCAAAATATGAGTTTTTATGTTCATCAAAACACTGAAAATAACTCAAATGTCCACCAATATGAGATTATGTTAAGTATACTTATATAATGGAATAGATGCAGCAATGAAAAATAATGAAATATACCTATAAATAATAATGGATGAGTCACATAGACATAATGTTCATCAAAGAAGCCAGACATAAAAAAGCTTAGATTCTGTTTTTCTACTATCTGAAAATGAAGAATAGACATGGTTACCTATTAGAATAGGAGTAAAGTAGCACTCACCTTTTAAACCGGTGAATGAGTACTGATTAAGAGAGCTCATGAGAGAGTCTCCCAAGGTGTCTCAACCTGGGTGGTAACTCCTACATGAACTGTGCTCTTGTGAGGCACAGACAGATATATCTTAGCAGAGGAAAATGGGTAGGATCATAGACAAAACAAGTGGGGCTCTGAGTTTGATAGTCTGATGAATATGGAAGCTAAGTAATGGGCATACATGACTTCACCATAATATTCTAGTATGCTCTTAAGTTCCCATACTAAAACATTTCTATAATGAAAAAAATATAGTCAATGTACTTTGGCAAAAAAATGCTATATCTTCATCTCACATTATAAATTTTGTATCATAAATTGCATATGAATGAACAATTTTATGTGATTAATGATATTATAAAACTTTGGAAAGAGGGAGGCGCCTGTGGCTCAAAGGAGTAAGGCACCAGCCCCATAGACTGGAGGTGGGGATTTCAAACCCAGCCTGGCCAAAAACTGCAAAAAAAAAAAAAAAAACTTTAGTAAGAAATACAGATGAATATTTAACCGATAGGAAAGAATTTTTTAAGCAAAATAAAATGAAAGAAACTTTATGAAAATATTGATGGATTTAATATGTAAAGTTTTAAAATATTTGGAACTACTTTTAAATGTTTAAAAAAAGAAATAATTGGGCCAGGCACCATGGCTCACACCTGTAATCCTAGTACTCTGGGAGACCAAGGCGGGTGGATTGCTTGTGCTCAGTAGTTTGAGATCAGCAAAAGCAAGACTCTGTCCCTACTAAAAACAGAAAAACTGAGGGAAGAGGATCGCTTGAGCCCATGAGCTGTGAGACTGCAGCACTATACCAAGGGCAACAAACTGAGACTGTGCTCAAAAATTAAAAAAAGAAAGAAAAAAGAAATAATTGGACCTATGGTTTTAATAAACATGACAACATACTGAGGTTATTCTTATATAAGGAACTTCCATAAATATAAAAAAAAAAACTTTGTTACCCAATAGAAAATTATGTGAGAAGTGAACAGAATTCACAAACCAAGGAAACCAATGGCCAATAAAGTTTAAAATCGCTATTACTTAACTGCAAAGTTATTAGTATGAGTGAACATGCAAATGAAAGCATAAAATGGTTCACAGTCACTTTACAGTTTAAAATTCAGTCAGAGGAAAATAACTAAAATACTTCATAATTAAATAAGTTCATTGCAGTGTTATTTATAAATTAGAAACGATATAAATATCTAGACAAATAATTTATACATCTATTAAATGTATTAAATTGTCATTAAAAACTACATTTTAGATAATTTATAATGCACTTATATTGCTATGTCCTAATTTTAAAATATATATGTAACCAAAATGTAGCAATCATTTATACACTGCAATAACAGTTTAAAAATTCATAAATAAAAACAATAATGTAGAAACTAGCAGTGATTATCTCTGAATTGTAGAATTATGGGGACCTTATACTTGTCTTTTTAATGTTTTGTATGTTCCATAATTTTACAATATATGTATGTTTTGGATTTTGGTTTTCATAATTGGAAAAGGATGGAACCTGTGCATTCTCTCTACCTGGTACCCCATTTGATCCATCTTTAACATTGCAGAATAGTAACCGATACTTCTGGGGGAAAAAAGGATAACAGAAAGCTTATCTACCCCATATATCTCACCAAGTCTACATCTATCTTACGAGAAGAATCATTGGTAATTAAAGGACAGAACCTCTTAACTAAGTAGGTTTGCTTTAATTCTATTTTATGGAGAAGGAAAGCGCTCAGTTAAATTGCTACTTAACTGATTCTTTCTTTGACAAGGCAGGAACCTCGTGCTACACATTGCTGCTTTTCTCCTCCTTGAAAAGGAGTGTGATCCTTAATAGATAAACAGAAAGAGAAGCCAAAAAGATAGACAGTGAGATATTGGGAGTTCAGTTGGCTGCAAACTTAACCATTTATCATATGAACTTTTTATTTGATCTTAAAGCCAGTGGATTCTTTTCAGCCCTAGCTTTCTCAATTCCTCCTTTCTTTTTGCCAAGGCTGTCCATTTCTTTGTGGTCTAAATACCCTAGATGCTGGAAACACTAAAAGCCTAGACTTCATCACTATTCCATGTATCCATGTAACAAAACTGCACTTGTACCTCTAAATCTATTAAAATAAAATTAAATTGTAAAATGGAGTCCTTTTCAGCAATCCTGCTATCTACATGAGTATTTCTATACAGAAGGACACAAAAGAAGAAGGGAGGGAGACCATAAAATCCTTTTGCCTGTTTCAGTGCCCGTAGCACAGTGGTTACGGTGCTGGCCATATACTGGTGGTTCGAACCCAGCCTGGGCCAGCTAAACAACATTGACACAACAAAAAAATAGGCAGGCATCGTGGCAGGTGCCTGTAGTCCCAGCTACTTGGGAGGCTGAGGCAAGAGAATCACTTAAACCCAAGAGTTGGAGGTTGCTGGGAGCTATGATGATGCCACAGCACTCTACCAAGGGTGAGTGAGACAATGAGACTGTCTCAAAAAAAAAAAAAAAATCCTTTGCCTACCCAACATTGTGAGTTTTATCACTAATGAAATTTTGTATAGGAGATCTAGTTATTATGACCCTTACCCTTCCAGCATCACCAGCATTTGGAAGTGTATTGAATAAAGGCTTTGAGTTTTATTAAAAGACTGAATTTTGATGCCACAAAGCCAGCATTAATTCAGTCTGGAAAAGTGTTTTGATAACCTTACTATGTTCTAGATGATGAATAGGTCATGGTAACTAAAACAGATAAGATACTCATCCTTAAAAGCTTATGATTTGGCTGGGAGCACTGGCTCACACCACTTTTAAAGACCAAGGCAGAAGGCTCTCTTGAGGCTAAGAGTTAAAGAGCAGCCTAGGCAACAAAACAAGACTCTCCATCTCTAAAAAGAAGATTGTTTTAGGCTCAGCATGGCTAAGGCACCAGCCACATACACCAGAGCTGGTGGGTTTGAATCTAGCCTGGGCCTGCCGAACAACAGTGACAACTACAACCAAAAAATAGCTGGGCATTGTGATAGGCGCCTGTGGTCCCATCTACTTGGGAGGCTGAGGCAAGAGAATCTCTGAAACCCAGGAGTTGGAGGTTGCTGTGAGCTGTAACGTCACGGCACTCTACCCAGGGCAACAGCTTGAGGCTCTGTCTCAAAAAAAGAAAAAAAAAAAGGAAGATTGTTTTAATTATCTGGGTCTGGTGGTAAATCCCCATAGTCCCAGCTACTCAAGAGCCTGAGGCAGGAGGATCACTTAAATCCAGGAGGCCAAAGTTCAGTGAACTATGACTGTGCTACTGCACTCCATCCTGGCAATGGAGGAAGACCTTATCTATTTAAAAGGAAAAAAAAAGGCTTATAATTTGCATGGAGGTGGGTAAATTGTAAATATGTAATATATAATTACAACTAGATCAATGCTCTTTAAGAAAAGCATAGGGCACAATAAGAGTTTTTGACAGAGGGACCTGGCTTTGTCTAGATAGATAGTAAGAGAATTTTCCTGTAGAAGCAATGATTGAGCTGAATTTCAAAAGTTAAATAGAAGTAACTGAAATAAGCAGAGAGGGAAAGATTATTCCAGGCAAAAGAAATAACATATGGAAAAGGCCTAAGAATGAGAATATATCGTAGTAGAAATAAAACAAACAGAAGACAATAGTGGTACAACACAAGCTTGTAGAAGTAGGCAGGGACCAGGTTATCATGACAGATTTTAGAGCAAGGCTTGTCAAATGATAAAATAGATTTTCCAAGTGGTAATAGAGCGTTAACTAGGCAGGCAGAGCTCTAAAATTCTATACATACAGAGATCAGTTTTATAAGATGTTTTCTGAGAGAGAGAGACAGACAAAAGTTGGGCTTTTTGTTTTCCATCTAATTCCAGATGTTAGAATCACGGCTTGTCCAGAGCAAGTCAGGATTAAGGCAGAGAAGGAGGAAAAGCCTGTTCAAATGTAAATTTGCAGAATCTAGTAATTCAGAAATTATAAAGATAAGATAGAAGGAGTCAAAGACTCAAGAGGCTTACGTAAAAATAATACAATACAAAATTAGTAAGTCCAAGATTGTTTTTCCAGTGTCTGTATTTATAGTCTTTTATTTCTGTATGTGTACTATTTGAGAAAGCAAAATTAAAAGTTTTAGGAAGCATGTTCATTTAGCAGGAGTGGCTAACATAGAACGTTTGCAGACTGCTCCCATGGGCCAAGGATTTTGTTATTGTTGGGCTGTGTTTGGTGTTTTTGTAATTGGTAAAGTGTTGAGTCTCTTTTTATGCTTTTTTGAGTTTGAAAGTAACCACATTTAATGGATTATTAGAAGCCAAGCAGCTGTGGCCATTTTTAATGCACATTACTTTAAAATACCACAAGATAGGTATTCTTTATAATATTTATAGCTTGAGAGTATACTGAAGAAGTCAGATCATCTTTAAACCTTTCCTACTAGGGCTTTTTATCTGAACCACAAAGCACAGAAAATTATTTTAATAACTATTTTTCAGTTGCCGCAAGGATGGCATTTAATAGTTCTGTTCTAAATACATATGAAAAAAGGCTTATACATTGGCTACCTTTAAGCATTAAGGCTTGATTCTCTCTCTGAACCCCAGTCGAGAAAGCTTCTAGGTTATATAAAGAACATTTACTTGTATGTTTATTCTGCATTAAAGAACATTAATTATAAAGAACATTTACTTGTATGATTATTCTGCATTAAAGCACTTCCACTATAATGACATAAATTCGAGGGAAATATACTGAAGACATATCCATATAAAAAAAACACATCATTCTTGGCTCGGTGCCTGTAGCACAGTGGTTACAGCGCCAACCACACACACCGAGGCTGGCAGGTTCAAAATTGGCCTGGGCCCGCTAAACAACAATGACAACTGAAACATATAATAGCTGGGCATTGTGGCTGGTATCTATAGGCCCAGCTACTTGGGAAGCTGAGACAAGAGAATCGCTTAAGCCCGGGAGTTTGAGGTTGCTGTGTACTATGACACAACGACACTCTACCAGGGCAACATAGTGAGACTCTGTCTCCAAAAAAAAAAATCATTCATTAATACTGCAACTAAAGTGTTAAAGGAATGAATTATTATATTTTTTCTTTGACTTTACAAAGACCTTTTGAAAGACAGCTTGAAATTTAGTATATAAATCAAAAATGAATTGAATAAAAACTAACTCTGTTACTAAGAGCATAAATGCTTTCCTTGGATTCTGGCTACAAATATAATGGTAGATAAAGAGGACAATTTTATATTAAATAGTATACTTTTTTTCCTATTGGCATACTAAGGTATTGGGAAAAGTGTTGCCAAAAGTTATAGTTCATCATAATTCTACTTTTATTAAATTCATATTATGCTATAGCTTAAATTTTCATTTGTGAAGACAAATTATAAACTTGGTTTTTATAGATTTCTCATCCAAACATTTCTATGCTTCAGCCAACACAATGAATAATTTTTTTTGTACATATCATTGATCAGTATAGCACCTAAAATAACAGAAAATGAAAAGATACTGTGTTTATTTTGTTTCTTAGATCAGTACAATGGAACATGAATTTTCAATAAAGGAACATGGGTTTGAAGTTCAATTGAGAGAGATGGAAGACAGTAATCGAAACTCCACCATTGAACTGCGGCATCTCTTATCAACTCAACAGAAGGCAGCCAATAGGTGGAAAGAAGAAACAAAGAAACTTACTGAAAGTGCAGAAATTAGAATCGGTAATCTAAAGTAAGTTCACTATTAATTGTTTGACACATTTTACAGAAGAAATGAATTAACCAATAGTTTAATGTTCTTGCCATATCTTCAAAAAAATGAATAAATTTGGATCTTATATTTTATTCAGCAAATATTTATAAAACTATGGTAAAATTATTAGGTATTATGGACTAAAATGGACATTGTATATTTTTATAAATTTTGTGCATATTCCATAAAATACAATAATTTTTGTTGCACATGTCAATTTAAAAGTTTAATGCTATTTGCATATAGGTGTACCATATACAGAGTATCCAAAAAGTTCATGTGCAATTTAAATTGGTTGGCTATTTTAAATTGTACATAGACTTTATGGACATTCTGTATAATGTTCTGTAGAATTTGGCTGGCCTGAAAAGCCTGAACTGTTTTCTCTCTGGCTCTTTAAGAAAAACATTGCTAACTCTTTCTCAGAAAGAGCTTGAGATTTTGTACTGAATGAGATGAAAAGCTTAAGAGCTTCAAGATGGTAATGAAATTGGGGTTATAGGATCAGACTTAAAGGTACAACAGATGACTTTGCTGTAGGAATAATAGACTATAGTAAACCTAAACATGCTCTTAAAAAAACACTTTTTTAAAAAAAATAAAAGTATAGACTCTAGAGCAGTGGTTTTCAACCTTCCTGATGCTGCAGTGTATTTTCTTTTCTTTTTTTTTTTTTTTTTTTGAGACAGAGCCTCAAGCTGTCGCCCTGGGTAGAGTGCCATGGCTTCACTACTCACAGCAACCTCCAACTCCTAGGCTTAAGCGATTTTCCTGTCTCCACCTCCCAAGTAGCTGGGACTACAGGCACCCACCAGAACGCCTGCCTACTTTTTTCGTTGCAGCCATCATTGCTGTTTGGTGGGCCCGGGCTGGATTCGAACCCGCCAGCTCAGGTGTATGTGGCTGGCACCTTAGCCACTTGAGCCACAGGCACTGAGCCTGCAATGTATTTTCATTGTTAAAAAGGGGTCGCAACCCATGGATTGAGAACCACTGCTCTAGAGGGACAAGGGTAAAAGAAGGAAAAAGAAGCCTGGCATCAAGTATAAAATAGTGGTAGCTTAGCCTATGTTTTAAAGAGTTGGAGATAATAAAATAATGTTTGCTTTGGGTTGTATTAAATATGAGCTGCCCAAAAGACTTTTAAGTTAGGGCATTTAAGTCAGTTGTGTAAGTTTGGGGAGAGATTGCCACAGGAGCTATAAATTTTTGAATCATTGACCTATACATGATTTTTAACATCGTTGGATGAGAGTGTTTTGAAAAAGAGTATTGGTAGAGAAATGAAGCTGTCTGAGAACTGAATGCCAAAATGCGAAGTTTAGAGAGAGGAAGATTCCACTGAAAAGAACTGAGAAAGCATATCCAGAGAAATAGAAATCAAGACAAAACAGTTTTGTTTTTTTTTCTTTTTTTTTTTTGAGACAGAGCCTTAAGCTGTTGCCCTGGGAAGAGTGCTGTGGCATTACAGTTCACAGCAACCTCCAACTCCTGGGCTTAAGCGATTCTCTTGCCTCAGCCTCCAAAGTAGCTGGGACTACAGGCACCCACCACAACACCTGGCTATTCTTTTTGGTTGTAGTTGTCATTGTTGTTTGGCAGGCCCAGGCTGGTTTTGAACCCAGCCAACAAAATGGTTTTTAAAAAATTCAGAAAAGGAACAAGTAATAATGGGTGATATTTATTGAACACTTTTTGTGTGCATTGTTCTAAGCCTTCAGTCCCCAACCCCTAGGTAGGGGACCAGTACCCTGGTCCATGGCCTGTTAGGAACTCAGCTACACAGCATCACCGCTTGAGCTCTGCCTCCTATTTCATCCTCTCCCAACCCCCCATGGAAAAATTGTTGTCCATGAAACTGGTCTCTAGTACCAAAAAGATTCTGGTCTGTGGCCTGGTGGGAACCAGGCCGCATAGCAGGAGGTGAGCTCAGGCAATCTACCCACCTCAGCCTCCCAAGTGCTGGTATTACAGGTGTGAGCCACTACACCCAGCCTGAACAAGAATATTTCATCAAAAGAAATATTCTAGACTCAGCACCTGTAGCTCAAGTGGCTAAGGCGCCAGCCACATACACCAGAGCTGGCAGGTTCAAATCCAGCCCAGGCCTGCCAAACAACAATGACAACTACAACAAAAAAATAGCCAGGCATTGTGGTGGGTGCCTGTAGTCCCAGCTACTTGGGAGGCTGAGGTAAGAGAATCGCTTATACCCAGGAGTTGGGGGTTGCTGTGAGCTGTGATGTCACAGCTGCCCAGGGCGATAGCTTGAGGCTCTGTCTCAAAAAAAAAAAAAAGAGTGAGCATCTTTATCTTGTTCTTAATCTTTACAGGAAATGCTTTGAAATTTTTCTCATTAAGTATAATGATAGCTGTGGGTTTGTCATATATGGCCTTTATTGTGTTAAGGTATATTTACATTTTTGACAGGAAATTATTTTTTTCAGAGAAATCAAAGAATGGCTTTTAAAATTATAGATACTTTAGATTTTAAGTTATATAGATCTTAGAGTTATATAGATTTTATAAATGCATGTCTTTTTTTTTTTTTTTTTTTTTTTGAGACAGAGTCTCACTTTGTCCCCCTCGGTAGAGTGCTGTGGCATCACAGCTCATAGCAACCTCCAACTCCTAGGCTTAGACAATTCTCTTGCCTCAGCCTCCAAAGTAGCTGGAATTACAGGCACTTACCACAACACCCGGCTATATAAATGTAAATCTTAATATACAAAGTTAAACATATTTAACCAATAAACACCTTAATTTATGTAATAAGTGTATTAAAAACTGAATTTCTATAACTAAATCTTATTTTAAGTGCTCTAAAATGGCTCATCTTTTTTTAAAAAAAAACCTATGAAGCAGATACCCTAGGAAGAAAAATTTATTTCAGTTCTGTTTTTAATTATAGACAAATCTATGATTGCCATGAATTATTTCTCCTCCAAAACATAAGCTGAGGTAGAGATCTGGCATGAGTACAAAAGAAAGGTGTTCCCACATGTGGCACCCGCAAAAGATTGAAACAGAGAGCCGAGATGAGAAAGAAGACTTGAATTCATTTAGAGGAAGATAGAGAACACATCACTAATAGTAAACCAGATGGGCTATAATTGTTTTAAAAAAAGATAAAATTTTTTATTAGTGAAAACATACAGAGTAATCTCAAAACATAAAACCCTATTAGGTGTGATCATTTGATACAATCACTCAGTGACATAGTATCTATTGATAATACTAACAAGGTGTTACTATCTTTTGGTAAAATTTTCTGAAGAGCTAAATCAAGGTAACAAAATATCTCTTTAATTACTCAAACCCAGTATTCAAATACTGAGAAATTTAATAGATTTTAGGAATAAACATAATGAGCTGGCTTTAGAGTTTAAGGTGTGAAATAAGCTACAGCAAAAAAGATTCAAAGCTCAGCAGTAAATAAGAATATTTACTGGAACATAAAGACATTTCTAACCAAAAATTAATAGTAAATGACATCTTTAATGACTTCTGACTTAAAATTCTGTAATAGCCCATGTTTATATAATGAAATATATCTGCATTTGTTGGCTTTTAAGATGCAGCAAATCTTAACAAAGATAGTTGAATGCTTAAATTTAACAAAGAAATATGAAAGGGAGTTCCTTCTTGATCATATCATGGGATTACTATACTCGAGGAGATTATTTTGATTTGATCTTCACTGTTCAGGACTTGTATTATCAGCATCATTGTTGAATTACTAATCTTTTTTTTCTGAAGCTCTCAACTTCACCCATTTGGCGGGAAAAAAACTTACAGTTTCTGTTCCCAAAAAACTGCCTAGTCTCTCTCCCCCCTACACCCGCTCCCTGCCCTCTCCTTTCCTGACCCCCTCTGCCCACCCTCTTCTCCTTCCTCCATCCTTCCCTTAAAGAGTTTTAGAGGCCTATGCCTGTATTTAAGGAGAAAACAGTTTTCCTTTCTCTATTCCTTTTCTTCCCTATGTTTTATTATCAAGCTTATTTTATCCAGCTGTTTCAATAATTTTCAACTTTTTGTCTACCTTTATGTACCCACATACAAGCTTCAAAGAAACTAAGCCTTCTGATCTTCTCAAGTTCTTTTTATAAAAAAGATATTCAGTTCATGTGCTATTAATTATCATTTCTTTGTTGAATTCACCATATCCCCTTAACCACTCTGCATCTTACCTGGTACTTATCCTAATTTTGTAACTGTCTTTAGGACATTTACTGTATGTCTCATTATTACCTTAATTTCTACATTTCAAAACTAATTTATAGTATTCTATTTTCCAACTAAACTTCTACTTTAAACAGTCTTTTCTGTGTTATTGATACCACTATTTCCCTAATTCCTAGTTATAGTCTTTTTTTTTTTTTTTTTTGAGACAGAGCCTCAAGCTGTCCCCCTGGGTAGAGTGCTGTGGCAACACAGCTCACAGCAACCTCCAACTCCTGGGCTCAAGCGAGTCTCTTGCCTCAGCCTTCCAAGTAGCTAGGACCACAGGCGCCCACCACAATGCCCGGCTATTTTTTGGTTGCAGCCGTCATTGTTGTTTGGCGGGCCCGGGCTGGGGATTCGAACCTGCCACCTTAGGTGTATGTGGCTGGTGCCTTAGCCACTTGAGCCACACGTACTGAGCCCTTAGTTATAAAAATGTTGTAATCATCTTTGGCTCATTCTTTGTCTTTATCTTCTTTCAACAACCAAGTCCCATTGATTCTTCTTTTGAAATGCATTCTGCCTCAATTCTTTGTTCCATGACTCTAGAACTACATTAGTTATTTATTGCATTGTAACAAATTACCCCAAATTTAACATCTTATAAACAACATTTTTTATTTTATAATTTCATGAGTTAAGAATTTTGAGAGTGGTTTGTCTGGGTAACTCTGGGTTGTAGCAGCCCATATAGCCTATGGCTAGGAGGAATGAGAGTTATAAGAAACACCTATAGCTCTATAATGGAACATAAT